TTTGTGTCCTGAAGTCTCTGAGGTGTTACATTTTTGTTTATATCTCTGCAAAGCTTTAGTGGAGACTAAAGTCCTGGAACTCAACAGAGATCCGCCTGCCTCAGCACAGCCCAGCTATTAAGAGCATTTGTAAACCAGCTGTGGTGGTGTACCACTTGGGAAGATCACAAGTGGAAGGAAGGCCCAGTGGGCAGCATAACAAGTCCCTCCAGCGTGTGTCAAATCTGTGTTTTATTGGAATCCTTCCTAACCCTGGCTTTGTTGCCCTGCTGTTTTCTGGAACAGGAAATAGGAGAGACGGCTTAGTTTAACGTGCTCTGAACTCCATTTTCTTACTAGGTACAAACCCGACTTCAGACTACCCTTGCCAATTTACATCAGAAAAGCAGTGAAATTGAAATTTTGGCTGTAAGTCACTTTCTTTAACAATTTGAAGCTAGCATCTGTCTGCATTGTCTAGTGTAGCCACAGAATTCAGGTTTTTTGGGGTTTTTTTGCTATCAGCTGTATCTGGAGTCAGACCTGGCTGTTCCTGATGTGACAGGCAGCCTAAAGCTAGACAGAACTGGGAGGAAAAGAAGGTGGTTGGTGTGTTTTTCCCTTCTCTTCTTTTTTCTGAAGGCCACACTCACACTCAGGCCTTACTAAGCATAGGCGGCAGCTTGACCTCTGGGGTGTGGTGGATGTGAAATCTCGAAATCCAGTCTCAAGTCCTTGTTAGCTCACAGCCCATTTAAAGTCTGCTTTACAGCCAGGAAGATGGCTCTGTGGTTAAAGCACTTGCCATGCGAGCATGAGGATGGGAGTTCAGATCCCCAGAACCCACAAAAATGCCTACGATTACAACCTCACAGGCCTGGCTCACAGACTAGCACATCAGTCAGCTCAGCTCTGGATTCCACTGAGGGCTGCCTCAAAGAGGAGGGAACAGCAGCTGACAGTAGTTCCCGTGTCAGCCCTGGGCCTGCACACATGCACATCACGGGGGGTGGGGGGCTCACAGCATCCATAGCAACCCTGTCCTTATCATCCACACAGTGACAGCATAGCCCTAGTCTGGAGTGCTGCGTAAGAGCTCTTAGTAAATGGTATGCATTTCTGTGTGTTAACAGGTAGACCTACCCAAAGAAACAATCTTACAGTTCTTATCACTAGAGGTAAGCCGCGGGAACTGTTCTGCACCGAGACTCCTATGGTCCTGTCAGAGGAAAACTGGGAAAAGGTCTTACACTGTCTTAGTAATTGTGTCTGTCTGGTAGCATTGGGAATTTAGCTAGTACCATTAAGCCTTTCTGTTAGTATGTGCTATAGCATTCCTGGGTCAGAATCACACAGCCACCAAGTATCGGAGCCTGGACCTGAGCCTAGCAGACTAGTATAATCTAGGCCCTTACCCATTGTACCATGTGTTTCTCAAGCAAACCTTCCTCCCAGCTAGGGAAGCACAACCACATAGAAGATTCTGTTGGAAAAAAAAAAAAAATTAGGTCAGTTTGTTTACAGGCCTATACTTCTATACATTTTTTTTCCAATTTTTAAAAATTTGAAGTTTTTGGTGGCACACACCTTTAATATCAACACTTGGGAGGCAGAGGCAGGTGGATCTCTGTGAGTTCGAGGCGAGCCTGGTCTACAGAGTAAGTTCCAGAACAGGCTCCAAAGTTGCACAGAGAAACCCTGTCTAGAAAAAACAAAAAACAAAAAGAGAGAGAGAGAAAAAAAAAGAAAAATTGAAGTTTCCCACGTTAGTAAAATAACCATTGCTACAGGTGATTTTTATTTTATTTTTTGAAAACAAGATCTTACCAGGTAGCCTGTCTAGTTTGTTTTCTTTTTAAAAAAAAAAAAATTTATTTACTATGTATACAATGTTCTGTCTGTGTGTCTGCCTTCAGGCCAGAAGAGGGCACCAGACCTCATTACAGATGGTTGTGAGCCGCCATGTGGTTGCTGGGAATTGAACTCAGGACCTTTGGAAGAGCAGGCAATGCTCTTAACCTCTGAGCCATCTCTCCAGCCCCCTAGTTTGTTTTCTATAGCTGTGATAAAACACTGCCCCAAAGCAACTGGGGATGAAACATTTATCACTTCTTTCAGGCTAGCGTCCATTAGTGCGGGAAGCCAAGACAGGAACTCTAGGCCAGGAAGGGCCCACTGAGGAATGCAACTATTGGCCGGCTTGCTTTCTAATGTAGCCTAGGCCCACCTGCCCAGGATGGCACCACCCACAGTGGGCTAGGCCCTCCCACATAAATCACACCTCAAGCAAATGCCCCAGGGACCAATTTGCTGGAGCCAATTCTTCTACTGATGGTTCCTCTTTCCAGGTTAGTTTGTGTCCTTAACAAACCAGCACAGAGCCCAAGCAGGCCTTGAAATGTAGTAATCCTCCTGCCTCAGGCTCCCAGGAGCAGAGATTACAGGCTATAAGTAATTTTTAAAACATTTCACATCAGAACTTGGAAACAACCTAAATGCTGAATAAGGAAAATGTAGTACATTTACACAATGGAGTACTACACAGCAGAAAAAAATGACATCTTGAAATTTGCAGGAAAATAGATGGAGCAAGAAAACATCATTTTGAGTGAGGTAACCCAGACCCAGAAAGACAATTATGTACTCACTCATAAAGCAAAGAAAACCAGCCTACAAATCACAATCCCAGAGAACCTAGACAACAACGAGGTCTCTAAGAGAAACATACATGGATCTACTCTACATGGGAAGTAGGAAAAGACGAGATCTCCTGAGTAAATTGGGAGCATGGGAGAGAGTAGAAGGGGAGGGGAGAGGCAGGGAGGGGAGCAGAGAAAAATGTAGAGCTCAATAAAAATCAATTAAAAAATTTCCCATCAAATAACTTTTATCTATCCATACTCTTTAGTCATGGATTAAAAATAAAATAGACTGTGTGCTAAGAATTGGAAGCAGGAGGGTCTTCAGTTCAGGGCCAGACAGTGCTCCAGAGTAAGACTGGCTCTTCGTTCCTTCGCGACCACACAAGGACGCAGCCAGCACTGTGGCAGTGTGTGGCCTTGTGATCCAGTCCAGTGAGCAGACGTTAAGGCCACAGTCTCCGCTTACACAAAGTACCCAGGAACAGCAACCTAAAGGCACACTGGCCCCCACAGCTGCAGTCTTCAAAGGGAGAACCCAGCAGAGGCCAGGCAGTGCCCCTGCTGCTCTGCGGTCATATCTGGTCTGATCTCTCCTAGTGGGATGCCGATGAACAGGCATTTAACACAACTGTGAAGCAGCTCTTGTCACGCCTGCCAAAGCAAAGATACCTCAAACTCGTCTGTGACGAAATTTATAACATCAAAGTGGAAAAGAAGTAAGTTACGCGGGCTTCCTGTGGGTTAAAGTTCAGGGAAGGGTTTTTCTTATTGAGGTCTGGCAATTCAGAAAGGTGACTGACAGCCAGTAAGTCCTACTCAGATCTGAATCACAGTGAGGATCTTGTCTGTTACAAACACCGTGGGCCTGAGTGCAGCTGTCCCAATTATGTTGTTCATCCAGGTACCCTATTTCTAAAAGTACGTTGGCTTTTTCATGGAAGGGGTGGGGCTGTGTGGCATGTAGAGGCCTGAGGTTTATATCACTTCGCTCAATCACACTTCACTCTTTCCTTTTGAGAGAGGGCATCTCTCTGAACCTGAAGCTCATCAGATCAGCTAGGCTGACTGGCATCAGTGAGCTTCAGGGACCCGCCTATCTGTACCCTGTCCAAGGCTAGAGTTACAGGCGTGTACCACTCTGCCCAGCTTTTCAATATTGGTTCCAGGGATCCAAACTCAGTGCTTGCTGGCATGCACCTTACCCCCATCTCCCATGCCCCAGAAAATGTTTAATTAAAAAAATAAGCCAGGGATGGTGGCACACACTTATGATCCTAACACTTGGGAAGTAAACACAGATCAGGCATCCAAGAACATCTCTAGCCTTAAAGGCAAGTTTGAAGTCAGCCCGGGGTATATAAGACTCTGACACACAAAAAAAAAAAGCAAAAAGACATACATACATACATAAACACACACACACACATACATACATATATGCTGTGTATGTCAAAATGCCAATCAAGTATGTTACCATGTAACTTCAAGGGTGTCGAGGAAGCTGGTAGTGAGTGGCTGTCTTTGTTAGCTGCAGCTCCAGGAAAGCTTACACACTCTTCTAGTGGTCAGTCTCCCATCACATTCAGCTGGTGTTTTACCCCACTGAGTTAAGTCTGCCATCAGCCTGCCTGTCCCTTTCCTTTGCAGGGTGTCGGTGTTGTTCCTGTACAGCTACAGAGATGACTACTACAGAATTCTGTTTTGACGCTGAAGAACTGTTGCTGCATTGTTCAAATGGACAGCGGCTTACACTGGAATAATGGAATGTTGTACATTCAATTCATTTCAACTTGAAATTCTAATAAGCTGTCCTACAAAGTTGAACTTTGTAGGTTTTTCGTGTATGTTATAAATTTATCTTTTTGGATATAATAAATGCTTTCATACATATCTGCAGTTTTCCAGTTGCAGCTCTGCCAGCACTAGAGGTATATGGAGCTGAGAACCACCTTTTTCTTCCCTTGATCCTGCACTCTAAGCAAATGAAAATGTTCTAACATTTTCCAAGTGGATAAACAGACATAGAGATCAAAAGCCATCCCTTGTGATCTGTTTTGTCTCTTTAGTTGGAGGTGGAAGTGCAGAACAGGGTTTCAGTATGCAGCCCAGGCTGGCCTCAAACTCAAACTCGGCCTGCCTCCAGACCATTGAGAGTACAGGCTTGTGCCACCACACCAGGCAGAATCTTTATTCTATAATATAATATTTATTCTGTTGTCATTAAGCAAACTCCTGTTTGGCTATAAGAACTCAGACTTGCTGACGGAATTACAAGATTAGACAACAAGGTCCAGGGAGATGGCTCAGCAGTAAAGATACTTGCTGCCGAGTTCAATCTCAGGATACATGAGGTAGGAGAGAACGAATCATACAAGCTGATGCTGTGGCACAGAGCAAATGTGTGCACGAACATAAAAATAAATGTAGTTAACTTTTTAAAATTATACAACCAAGTAAATAAACCCACCCATAGGATAACATAACTTTTAATAAAACTGTCAGATTTCTATTACAGTATTCTCAAAGACAAGGCAAAAACCATTGAGTAACTGTATCATTCTAGAGTTAGTAGTTACTGTCACAAACAGGGTAGGCAAAGAAACAGCTTGCATGGATGGACTTGACGATGCACGGGTCGCAAAGATGACACTTGAAGGCTGGAATCTAAGAATACCCAGCCATACGGTGGAGATCAAAAACCAACTGGCTTCTTAGCACAGTAACTACCTTATGATCGTCCAACCCTTCCCTTAAACGATGCTTGTATGAAAACAGTTACATACAGAGGGTGCCAAAAGCAGCCAACAGGAAGCTGCACTTCAGCTGGCTGGTAATGGCCACGCCTTCACTGTGCTGGCTTCGTCTTCTTACTCTTGCTCTTCTTGTCCCTCTTCTTGAGACCATCCATGTTAGCTCTCAGCAGGTTTGAATAGGCCTGGAAGCCAGAACAGGGGCTTAGCAAGAAAAGATACAAACTGGGGAAACAGCTGACTCTTCCACAGCGGACTTAAGAGCAGCCGGCATCAGAAAGCTACGGGGACACCATGGGACACCCACACTGGGAACTGGTGTGCCACAGAGAAAGCCTTCAGCAGCTCCTGAGACACTCTTCCACAGGGAGCTGCAGGCTTTGCACTCTTTAAGCAAAAAAGGAGAACACCAGGCAACTTACATACAACAATATTATACAGTATATGTGAAGTTTAAGCAAAACTGGCCTTAAAAACGCAAAGGAAAAAACCACCATTGGACAATATTTATAAAATCAAACACCATAGGCAAGCAGTGACAGTCCCCCCCCCTCCCCGCCCCCCAACCAGTACCCATTCGTCTAGAGGAGGAATGGAGGACACAAGGAAATAGCGCTTACCATCTGGAACTTATTCACTTCTTTGGAACTCACCTGGAAAGGAAAAAGACCACCTCTTTTTATAGACATAGACACCACCTATTTTACCCAAAGAAGATCTCAAAATGCTTCATCAAGACAACACCTAGGCCAGACACAGTGACACACATGCCTTTTTCTCTCAGCACTCTGGCGGCAGACCAGCCTGGTCTGCAAAGCAAGCTGCAGGACTGCAGGACTGCACAGACTCTGCCAACAAGCAAGGGAGCCCTGTGCCTTCTTACACATGAGATTGCACCAGGATGGGAAGGCAGGAGTGGGCTCCCACCAAACCTATTCATCTTAAAAATCCCTCAGGCAAGCCCACGCTGGTAATCCCAGTCCCTGCAATTGTGACGCAGAGAGGGCAAGACAGCTCTAAATTTAAGGTGGGGAAAAAAAATCACTTGTACAGATGCCCCTGAGTTTCTTCCCTGGACTCAGAGAGACATCAAGGGATCCATCAATCCAACTCCCTCGGCTGAGCATGGTGGCACTGGCCTGAGTCCCAGCTTGGGCTGGAAGAAAATGAGTTCCAGGCCAGTCTGGGCTAGGGAAGCAAGAACCTGTCTCAAGAAGGAGAAAAAAACAAAACACAACAATGACAAAAAAACCCACTTTGTCTTCCATTATTTCAAACTAATATAGGCACAATTCAAGCTGCCACAAAAGAAATAATGCCTAGGAAGAGTCCTCAGTTTCCTCTCTGACAGCCACACGAACTTGCTTTGCTTTGAGCTATCTCCTCAGGATAGCTCATAGAGGATGACACACATCAGTTACTGTCTGCAGTTCCATGGTTTCATGGGCTAATGTGACAAGTCAGTCCGTCATTTTGAATCAGGAAATTTTTGTTTTGTCATATTCAACCTTTCATAAAAAGACCACAGTTCTTGACTATAATTTCAAGTGCCAAGCCTACCCTGCAGTTACAGGTTTGCTAAGTAAACCACAAAAACAGGGGGAAATCAGCTTGAAAATAATCATCTAGCAGGACAGTGGTGGCGCAGGACGTTAATCCCAGCACTCAGGAGACAGAGGCAGGCAGATCTCTGTGAGTTGTAGGCCAGCCTGGTCTACAGAGTGAGTTCCAGGACAGTCAGAGCTGTTACATTGAGAAACCCTGTCTTGAAAAACCAAAATCATCTAATGCCCATAAATTATTTACTGAAGGCCCAGCACAGAAATCAGTCTTCATAACAGCTGCTGAAAGAATAGACCCATATACTCATTTCCAGAGAAACTTTAGCAGAACAAGCATTTGGCCTCTACTTTCTGTTTTAAACGTTTACTGTTGATAATTTGTACTATGAAATAACTGGGAAGGTGGTCCACACCTATGATCCCACTACTTTGGAGACAGGCAACAGAGTCAAGGGTTCAGGGCCATGCTAGGCTACATAATGAACCTGAATTACATGAAACCTCATCTGAAACAAACAAAACAAAACTGGGTCCTGATCCCAAAACAGCCTGGAAGTGACTGGCCAAGAATGAAAGCGAGGGGGAATAATTCAAACACGCCCCTCCTGGGTTAAATAGTTTTAAGATAACAGTTCAGGGGGCTGGTGGTGGTGGTCATAACACAGTGATGACTTAGCATGATGAAGACCTGGCCTAGTCCCACAAAAATCGTCCTGTATCTGTCCCGGCTGATAACAGCCCTGTGACCCCAGTACCGGCTGAAGGGCCTGCTGTGATCCTCCGAGACCACAGCCTGAACCTCACAGCAAGCTCCTAAGATTTTTTTTCACAATTCAGCTTACTAGCTGGCCGTGGCACGGGTTGCACCAGTACCTCAGCTACTTAGGAGACTGAGTTCACAGACTGACAGACTTAAAAAATAAGGCAGAAAAGCCAAGACTCCAGCTCACCACAGTGCTGATCTTCCTTTTCCCATCCGTGGCTCTCAACAGACACTTGTTTTCCGCGGGCTCGAGGCCCTCCACAGAACTCTTCCGCGGAGTGGGTTTGGTGCGACCATCATCTGCGGAAAACAATAATAATACATCTTAGTGAACACCGCCACAGGCATTGCTGCTGGGGCCAAGGTGGAAATGGCAGAGAAGGGGTGACAGGGGGGACCCACCCAATCCACCATCACTAAGTGGTTCGGATATGGCCAAACGTGGGGGCAACAACTTGAGACTGTGACTCCCAAGGCACATGCGATCTCACTAACGGAGCAGGGACTGGGCTGCCTGGCACACGTGGGCGTCTGTCACGGTGAGTGGGTGCCGGGAGCCCTACCAGCCACACTTGCCAGCGCCGCCGCGACCCTGAGCCCTGGAGTCGGGGCTCCCCGACAGCAGACGGCCTCCGGGCTGCCCCCTCCCAGCCGCTGCCCCGCGCTGCCCCGGCCCCGGGGGCTGCTTACACTTCTTCAGGGTGATGTACACGCTGCCCGACGACCGGCACTTCTGGAAGAGCCTGGTCAGCTCCGTCAGGAACTGCAACACAACACGCCCAGTTAGGCAGCCTCCAGTCCTCGCCCCGCCGCGTCACCGCCCTGGCCCGCCCGCAAAGGGAGAAGCCCGAGCTGACCCCACTGGTTCGACTCCCCGGCCCTCCGGGGCAGCCGGTACCTGCTCGCTCTCGAGCAAAACCATCCCGGTCTCCGCAAGTTCCAACTCCGTCAGCAGAAGCCGGGGCGAGCGTTTACAGCCGGAAGTCTCCTCTGTGATGGGCGGGGCTTCCGCTCGTAGTTGCACTTCTTCCGCCAATCCCTGCCTCGCTCCTGTGCACGCGCCACCCCTTACACACGCGCGCGCGCGCGTACACACAGAGACGCGCGCGCGCACACACACACAACACTCACATACCCCTACACCTTCAGCCTGTCCAGGATGAGGAATGACATTGACATTTTGGGGCCTTGGACTGTCATGCCATGCTTCACCCCAGGCCGGGAAGGATTGGGAGCAAAAGAAAGATTTGATAGAAACATTCAAGTTACCCAAGAGTCCTTTGCCTCGGGTTCCTTATTTTTAAAGTGAGAATAACAGTACCCTTTTCACAACATGGCTGTGAAGAGCAGATGAATTTATATTGAAATATAGACTACTGTCTGGTACTAGAAGAGCAGATGCGTTAATATTGAGATATGGAGCACTGTCTGGTACACAGAAGTGCTAACTAAGCTTTAATCGTTTGTCTCGGTCACTGTTCTGTTGCTGTGAAGAGACACCATGACCAAGGCAACTCTTATAAAGGAAAGCATTTAGCTGGGAGCCTGCTTCCAGTTTCAGAGCTAATCCATTATCATCATGGTAGGGACCCTGGCTGCATGCGGCAGACTGGAGAGTTCTATAGCCTGATGCTTAGGCAGAGAGACTCTGAGCCTGGCATGAGCTTTTGAAACCTCAAAGCCCACCCCCAGTGACACACTTCCTCCAACAAGGCCACACCTCTTAATCCTTCTAATACTCCCAAATAGCGCCATGCCCTAGTGACTAACCGTTCAAATATATGAGCCTATGGAGGCCATTCTTATTTCCACCACACTGTTGCTATTTCCACTGCCATTCTCAACCACAGATGTTTGTTTATGTGGTCCTAGAACTCCAGGCCTTGTGTATGCTAGGCAAATCAATACTTTACCATCGAGCCTATCCACATCCCAATCTCTCTAAGTAAGCTGAGTGGCCCTAAAATCCAACCCCCAGTTCCAACAAAAGTGACTAAAGTCCAGGCCAATTCTCCCTCCAGATTTAGTTAGGAGGCCAGGGTTCTAGGATCTGTTCTATTGAAAGCCAACTTGAACCCTGGGCCTTTGAAAGGGCAAGATTTCAATCTTGCAACATGCTTTTGGTGAGTGCTTGTTAGCCTGTGCTGTGTACTTGTAGGGTCTGGGGGTACAGTGGTTAATGAGACACACTAAGATCCTGGTTTCTTTGAATTTGCTAAAACAGGTAAGGAGGAAATAACCAAAAAAGTGAGTAACTGAGCTTCCGATAACTGTAAAGACAACAAAGAAAGGTTACAGTGGCTGTGACAGGCACCTCTTTACATGGTGGTCAGGGGAGCTTGCCCTGCAGAGAGACACAGCTCAGATTAACACCAGGACTCTGAGGAGTTCCCTGATTAAGAATCTCCATTCAGGGGGCTGGAGAGATGGCTCAGAGGTTAAGAGTCCAGGCTGCTCTTCCCGAGGTCCTGAGTTCAATTTCCAGCAACCACATGGTGGCTCACAACCATCTATAATGAGATCTGGCTCCCTCTTCTGGCCTGCAGGCATGCATCCAGACAGAATGTTGTATATATAATAAATGAATCTTTAAAAAAAAAAAAAAAAAAGCCGGGCGGTGGTGAAAAACCAAAAAAAAAAAATTCATTCAAACAAAGCCCAGTCCTCAGCTGCACCACAGCAAACAGCTTCAGCTCAGAGTTGCAGAGAAGCATTGGCCACTTTAAAGCAGAAATAAGAGAGCACACATGCTTTGGATGTAAGAACCAGGGTTAGAAAGATACTTAGGGGAAGCAGGGTGTACAGCCCCAAGGTGCATGCCTCGTGTATGGGGAGAGAGAGTTGGGCATCTTTACAATGAATATATATACATGATTTTATGATTTTTGAAGTTATATCATTCAAAGTATATACAAAATTTAAAGATTAACAATGTTTAAAAATAAATTTACGCTGGATGGTGGTGACACATGATTTTAATACCAGCACTCGGGAGGCAGAGGTAGGCAGATCTCTGTGAGTTTGAAGCCAGCCTGGTCTACAGAGTTCCAGGACAGTCAAAACTACACAGATAAACCCTGTCTCTAAGAAACAAATGGCTAAATAAATAAATGAACAAAAATTTTACAAAATAAGATGCTTTACTTAGAAACTTCTATCGTAAATAAACGTGTAAGGTGGTTTTCTGAGGTGCATTGTTTACATTTAGGAATAAAAGAGGCCAAAAGCATCCTGACCCTAAGACAGTGGAGTTCACTGTTCGCAGTATCTTTAGAAAGAGTACCATCTCTTGTGCAGGCAGTGTTGATCACAACAACGGTATGGAAGTTTCTTGACTCTTATCTAGAAGGAAGCTTCTCACTCACAGTTTTGTTTTTTCCTCCTACTCTGCTCTGAGGGAGAGAAAGCATATGGAAAGAGGAATGAAGGAGAATAGAGAGGAGGCCAGTGGCCAGATCATGTAGGCCCATAACCCCAGTAAATTTGGATTTTGTTCCTGATAGAAAGAGAAGAGGGAGCTGGGCGGTGGTTGCGCAGCCTTTAATCCCAGCCCTTGGGAGGCAGAGGCAGGCGGATCTCTGTAAGTTCCAGGCCAGCCTCGTCTACAAGAGCTAGTTCCAGGACAGGAGCCAAAAGCTATGGAGAAACCCTGTCTCGAAAATCAAAAAGAGAGAGAGAGAGACTGACAGAAAGTAGGAAATGACTCAGGGCTGGGTTCAGGGTGACAGAGTGAGGTCCTAAGACCTAGATCCCTGCTGAGATAGTGGGATGAGATTATCTGTGGTGAAGGCTCCCCAGGGAAAGCCAGAGGGAGGAGAAAATGTGTTTTGGAAGCCTGTGTGTTCCTACAGGAATTACCACACTGGCATGTCAGCACACACTCTGGCCATGCTTTTGTAGAAGGAGACTGCTCTTTCCTTTCCCGGCCACCCAGATCCGAATGATCACACAGAAACTACACTAATTACAATACTGTTTGTCCAACTAGTTTAGGCATGTTCCTGGCTAACTCTTATATCTTAAATTAACCCATTTCTATTCATCTGTGTATCACCACGAGGTTGTGGCTTACCAGGTAAAGTTCTGTTCTGGCTTCTTTCTCCTTCAGCAGCTACATGAAGTGATAAATTTTAATCCCAGCCATAGTACCCTATAGAGACAGTGTGAACCTCTTCAACTTGAATCAGAGGGTCTGGAGTTATCCCAGTCCCTCATTTTTGTGTGAGACCTGGACCTTATTTTGACCGTAGTACCTACCCCAAAGGGTTGTGTTCCAGCTGCAAGGATGTAATTCCACCATCCTGTAAGAATTTACATTAGTTACTAAAGTTTCTTTCACTTCCCAGAACTGAGAAGGCCTGGTATTATGTGCCCCAAATCCTAGCAGTGAGGAGGCAGAGGCAGGCAGATGCAAATTGGAAGCCAGTTTGATCTAGCTAGTGACTTCCCAGGCAACCAGAGTTATATAGTCAGAACTATGGTCTCTCTCCCCGGAATCCCTCTTTGGAGGTCTCGAGCGCCTCCAAATGTATGCAATTAGCCCTGGCCTTCTTCCTCATTTAGTTAGATAAAACTGAGGAGGCCCCGTATCTTCCCAGCAGGCAGACATCAGCTCATCGGCTCAGCCTCCCGGGAGCTCTCCTGCAGTATTCCTCACAGCCAGCAGGGGACGCCATAACATCATTGGACAGGTGCAGCCTTAGACGCCCAGGGGCTCCTAGATTTTGGATAATAATTTACCTGAACCTAGGAGTTCTCAACCTTCCTAATGCTGCGACCCTTTAATACAGTTCCTCATATTATGGTGACCCCGACCATAAAATTGTTTTCGTTGCTACTTTTTTTTACTACTGCAATTTTGCTACTGTTATGCATTGTAATGTAAATGTGTAATGTGCAGGATATCTGATACATAATCCCTGTGAAAGGGTCGTTCAACCCCCTCAAAGGGTCGTGACCCACAGGTTGAGAACCATAGCCTTAGCCAGACATCCTGGATTGTGGGCTTTATCTTTAAAGCATGCTTCAGGAGGGGCCTGGAACATTCTGCACAACAAGGAGATTACCAGTCATCCAGTCACTGAACAGGGACTAATCAGACACCCTCTGGTGCCAAACACTCACTGTGTGGGTATCCAAAGCAGACCTGTCTATACGGGACAGACTAACTTCGCTGAGCAGCTTTGCCCGTATTTACTGAGGAGTTACCAGGTGCCAGGCTTGTTTCTAGGCACCTTCCTTACCTTTGCTTTCTTGAGTCCTCCTAGCAACCCTGAGATCGAATGCTTCATGCCCATTGTCACTAAAACACCGATAGGTTAAATGACAGCAAGAGGAACTGGACCTTTAGGGCCCAGTGTACATCTATATGGCTGAGCCCAGTCTGAAGGGAACTCCCACTGGGAACTGGACCGCTCAGATATCCACAGACATGACCACACAGATGTAAGGGAGAGAGGGCAAAATATTGGCTGCCGCGCACTGTGGCCCCATCTGCGCTCTATGCACTAGACCCCAGTTCACGAGCTTCGGGCAAGGGGCTGGAGGTTGAGAACACAGAGACAGACCGACACGCAGACCTTTCAACACTGATACCAAGGCCCCAAGAATGCTCCCTTTATTGTGTTCAGGGGCAGATTATAAAGAGATAGCCACATCCCAGTCAAACACACCAGAAACCACTCTCCTGCCATCAGGAACTCCTGAAGGTCTCGTGCTCAGGGCAGCTGTAGGCACTCAGATCAGGGGAAAACAAGTTGTTTACAAGAAATTCAGGATCTGGGATCTCACTGCTCCCAACAATTGGCCAGCTCCGGTACCCCCCCCCTCCTCCCTCCAGCTTTTCTGTCTCTGGGTCTGGCCCCCCATTCCAAGCCCCAGTCCTCCCTTATACTCCAGGCAAAATCCTGTCTCCTGAATCCTCAAACGCTTGCATTCTAGGCCCCAATCAGCACTCTCTAGTGATGTATCTGAAGGAAAGTCACTTTTTAAAAAAGGAAGTTTATCTACTTGTGTATGAGTGTTATGCCTGTGCGTCTGCGCACGT